GATTTTTGCTTGTAAGATATCTCCTGGTTGCCGCGTGATGGGACCAGCACTATTAAGTTGCTTGTTGCATAAATATAAAATAGAATAAGAACAATAGAATAAGAAAATTGATCACTGTCAAGGAAGCCAATAAGTAAAACAGAGAAAAAAGGTAAGAAAGTATTCAAAACTGAATGGACTGACTAACTTGATGAATTGCAAACAGAAAACAACCATCCAGTCAAAAAATCCGTTAGAAATGGAAGAAATAGAAAGGCATCATTCATTGATTTTTTCATATTTCCAAAAAGGGAAATTGAAAGTGAGATTTTATGGGAGCGAAATAGCCGTAATCGAACCTACGACTGCTACAACTTTTGTTGTAGAGTAGCTGAGTATACAAGATGACCTTTAAATTTTATTTTTCAGGAAAGATATCGAGAAGAATATCGAAACTTCCTCAATACTGAACATCCAGTAACTCGAGTAACCCCACCCGCGATCCATTAGCGTCATGATTCTCCATGGTAACGAGCGGCAATAGCTGTGGGTTCCACGAGGGCTTCTGCACGGTTGAATACCTTGACTATGAGTTATTGTGGCGTTCCAAAAATACTACAACAAAGCCAGCCCGACGGTGCACATATGCGGCGCCGCCACTATGGATTCCCTTCGGAATGGAGGGTACTTTCTTAATAAAAAGACGAGGCTACCCAACGCGACTCGAGGTGGTAGAAGGAGGATCAATCGAGGACCAAAGCTCACCCTGTATTACCTACAGACGTAAGTGGATAGAAGGGATAAACTTCGTCTTTTAGCCGCGTCGGGTCGATTTGTACCTCCCGACTCGATTGATACCTTCTGTCTCCTTGCAGATATCCATGCATATGTGTGTAGAGAGCCTGCAGGTGCGGTTGGTATCCTGCACATAGCCTTAGCCGATAGCATCATTGGATGATTAGCAATTATTTTATTCTGGCTATTTCATTTCACTGATGAGCTCCCTGAGAGGCAGGGGTTCATATTATGTAAGCGCTCTGAGTCTCTGCCCATGTGGGGTGAAGAAATTGTGGTCAGATCGGACTGGGCACAGCTCTGCGGAGGTGTGAGCCGGACGCTCATTTCTCGTAGATAGGATAGCATTAGAGCTCGGTAACTAAGCCGATAAGTCGCGATTACTGCATTTAGGTACTAGCTGGAGACTTTCACATTACGGTGCTAGTACCTGAGGGGTGGTGCCATCAAATATCTAATTATGGAAACTTTTTCAACAACCTAAGTACATCTCTTTTGACATGTTGGTTCAATCGTCGGAGCGCGTTATCTTCTGTTTTTCTATCAGGCTCACGATTGATAGCCAAATCCAACGTGGAGTAGTTTTCCCTGAGTGAGAATCAGTCATTTTAAGTACCACCAACGGTCGGTAGCTTGCCTCCATTTCTCAACTTCTCTAAGGAGTCTATAGTCTTGGTTTATGGTAAGCTTCCTATTGGCATCAATAGCCTAATTCGTGAAGTATTTCAGCTGAATACTGCTCAGTCACTACTCTGATACTACTTACCCAAAGAATTAGCAACGATCAGCATGGCAACTGAATCATTGAGTGTCGCAACGACACAGGCCGATGAGGACGAGGTACGTGGTAGGCAGTTGGAGTACGTCGGCGAGTATGAGAGGACTCGCTACAGTAAGTATGGATATTGATCAAGAACGTCTAATTGTTGAAACGGCTGATTAGTGCCAGGGTCCGATTAGGGCAAGCACTCTAATCTTACCCTGACAGGATATGATGAAGACTCCGGAGCAGTCACGCCTTACTAGAATGGCTCTATGACTTGTATGAACAATGAGATTGATGTCAGAAAAGTAAATTACCCTGTGACATTGATTGTAATACTCGATTATCAGAAAAATATTACTCTCTCACTAGAGGGGATGTAGCAAAAAGACTGTATATACTGAGCTGCCTTAGCAGTAGAATCAGCATCTTGGTTGAACAGGTTCTAACCTTGATTCGAGGTAATGCGCTTGTGGGGTTTCCATTCAGTCCCTCAAAGACGAGGGGTCATATTAACGAAAAAGTCCCGGTTTTGAAAAATTTCTGGGTATTTCAGTGTTCACCATTCATACGCATGCCTGAGGTCGGCTCACTCAACCATTCTAGCTCATCTCTCCCCTACGCCACCAATCTCATAGAGCCATACAAGATGTGCCTGCTTGAGATTACAATCAGACCGCAGTGATCATTTTTACCAACAAAAATGAAGTGAAAGATAAGATAGAAAAATTACACCTTATCATTCTGATTTGCCAGTGAGCAACGATCGAGATACGTATTGATTCGTTGTTGAAATTGAAAGGATGGATTGTTCTAGAAACCTATGAGATCTAAAAATAGTTTGTAAACGTAAATTACTATCGTGGTAGGGCGAACAATGTGAAAACTGTGGACTTCGGAAAATGTGCTGAGGGCAGGAATTGTTCCGTTCTACGCGGGAGTTCATCACAGAAAAAGGCAGTTGAAAAAGGGTAATACAAGGCTGACCCTTTNAGTTGATTTTTCCAATTCGGAATCCCACTATCATACGATTGTTCCGATTAATACTTGATCTGATCGGAATCTGCTGCGACGCGGGCAGTGACATAGGTGAAGGTAGGCTCTGCCTGTAAGGCACTAGGAACTACTACCTGGCCTGCGTATAGAGCAAAATAAATGAAATAGAAACTATAAGTTGTCAATGCTACTGTATATGTTATACATCACTCGAAGCCCGTGACTTCGGATGGAAGACTGTCGCAAGAGCTATTATGTAGTTCACAGTGATCTCTATCTCCGTTGAACATCCAGGTGACAACGGCGGAAAATACGATTGACTCGACGTGCGTTGGTCAGCGCACTTCTGATGAACATGCGGATGAACAGGGCTACAATCGTCACTTCAAGAAGAACGCCAACACGACCAGCAGTGGCAACAGCCGCTCACCAGCACAGAGTCGCAACGTCGGCTCTCGTGGATCGCGTGTGAGACAGGTCAGTGAAGATCAGCGTAGTACAATGGAACAAAATCACTCAAAGGATAGTGGCCCCAAACGACTCTGCCCACTCCCAGCCTTTGGGCAGTCGTGGAACTGGCTACCTAAAGGCTGGGAGAAGCCCGAATCGCCTTTATGATAATCGCTTATGGTACGTTCGGGAATTGCACTACTCCATAACCCATGGATAACATATGCCGATTTATAGGACAGATTCAAGTCTGCAGGAATTTGTGATACAGTAGTCCCACCGGCACAACCATGTGATCCGCCACACGAAGCCTTCCGTGCCGACGGGCTCATCAGCCACCTAGCGTTTCTTCTATTTCACTGGGTGTGATTACTTTATCACAGATTCTTCTGAACTGCGAAATCTTCCCTGTACAGGAGAAAATCGAGCTGCAAACTATTCGTTCTTGCTTCCTCCTAATAATCACCTTCCCCCCCTCCCACACTTAACCTGCAATTTACTAGTATTACTCCTCCAATGATACCATCGTTAGTCAGCACAGAAAAATCGGTGTTAATGTATTCTTGTAAAATATATAATCAATGGATTGTTATTACAGTACCAGTCAAGGGGAGGAATGTTCAATTCCGGACGTTTTGCTCAGACTTCACCTCCTTATATGGGCAGAATGTATGGCATGGCGACGCCGTAAGTAGTCCGTAAATTTGAAATCGTTCTTCCCGCCCTGTTACCTTTTGCACTACACAGAATCAACATTTCTTTATACTCATAAATTGTTATTTAGCATGGGCGTACAAATGTCTGTCGTCCCGCCATTCCCCGGCGAATATTTTGAGCCACAGGGAAGCATGTTTTCTCGTAAGTAAAAATAATAATGAAAACGAATTGTAAGCTGAGACGAAAGGACTGTCAACGTTCTTATTTCTTCGTCTTCTTCTTCCTAAGCCTAACCCTGCGTTGTCGCAGGGTGCTCTGTTTCTGTTAGCTGCCTCCGATTCCTTTTATCTGCGGCACCTTCTGCCTTATTTTGGCCTCGACGAGGATCGCTCACGTCTCGCTACCCCTTCTCGGAACTCCTCGTGGTCGCTTACCTTGAACCTCAAACTAATCCCCTACTTCCTGCTGAAATCAAATCATGTGTGGAGCGTCTAGAATGGTCTGACTTATCTCATTAGTAAACCTTCAGCTCGTTTCCGTTTTCCACCTCCATCGCCACTCCGCAACTACAACGGCCGGAACGGTCCGGAAAGCGGTGGTGTGAGACGTCGGGCGAAAAGTCCTAATTCTTCGATGCCGTCAAGCTGCGAAAATTCAAGTCCACAGCAAAATCGTGAAATGGCCGGAGATCGAGGACGTGAGAGACGGGTAAGGGAGTGTCGCGAGAACCGAGACGATCAGAAGAGCGCACCGAAGGAATCGTCGGAAGAATCGCGTGAGTTCTTCCGTACTCAGTACTGAAACTGAAACGCTCCATACGCACGTCTACTCCGTGTGGCATATCTTTGGCATTAACACACATAACACTTGCAAGTCTCCTCTGACTCTTCAACAGGTTTTGGGATACCTTTTTGAAAAACCCTGGAGAGTCATGGGAGCCATACAGAAGAACATAGCGACCGTCCGCGGCAATTACTGTGGGAGTCAGCTGCCTTTCAAATATGTTCTATTGAAGTTTTATAACGGGCAGCAGCTTGTGAAACGCATCCAGTATTGGTCGTTTGGAGTAGGATCTCATTTGTTCCGAGAACTCCTTCCTAACAGATCAATCCCACTCAAGGGAGGCATCCCCCCT